TGACCTTGCTCGTGTGGAGGGGTCCCGTGCCTGTGGCAGGGGTTGGGACTGGAGGAGCTTTAAGGTCCCTTCCAACCCAAACCAGTCTGTGATTATAAGACTTATCCTCTGCTGGGTTTGTTTGCCTTCTGCTTTATTTTTTTTCTCTTTCTATTTCACCACTGTGAATGTCATATGGGGACAGCAGATGTGCCATTAATGTTGCTTAGAACCTTTCAATTGCTTTTTAAATCTCCTCTCTTCCAAGAGCATCCCCATATTATTTTTCTGTTTTGACAACCTCTAATTGGGGAACACATAATGAAGAAGAGCTTATATGGAACTGTGTCTAACAAGATCCTGTTCTCTTCATATAAATGGTCCCTTTTTCCCCCTAGAGGTCCAGATACTATGGCTGTGTATTTCTGTAGTTCATTTTGTTACTCATTTATGCAATTCTGATGTGTGTTCTGCTACTCATTTGGGCAGATACTGGGATGGGGTGTTTTTTTTCATGTTATCAGTGAAATATTGTAAATAAAATAAAAAAACCCTAATACTGGATCCCAAATTATGATCCCGTGGAGGAAATTTCCTGCTTGGAAAGGTATCATGCAATTGGTGATACCAGGTGGTTGGTTTATGTGGTACCCAAGGTTGGATCTGCACAAGTGGTGGTGGTTCAGTGGTGCAGACAGGATATGGGTGCTGGAGCCCACCATCCTCCTTTGGGGCACTTCTGTTTTCCCTGTAAGCATTCACAGGTGGGTGCTTGCTTGCAAAGGGACCACGAAAGGGTCATTGTCACCCAGCTTTAAAAGTTTAAATCTGAAACCATCCCAACACCTTAAAACCAGGGTTTGTTGGCTTTGACGTCGCACCAGGGTAGCGTTTCCCTCCAGTGTTTCTGGGTGGTCTGTGCACCGTGAAAGAGCCATGTGGGCTACATTATACGTATCAGATGGCCTTTGGAAAGGCAAAAGTGTTTTGGGGAAACAAGAAACTGGATTAAAACTTCTTTGAAGTCTCAACTATTGATTCTCCACTTAGGAAAAGACTCTGCTTGTTTCCCAGATGCACCTATTCACCCTGAGTACATCTAAATAACTGTCTAAACACTGTAGGTAGTGTGATGAATTCGGAGCTGTCAGAGGAGAAAAACGAGGCCCCAGCGAAGCATAATTACTCTGGTTAAAAGCTCAACAGTGAAGGGGATAGAAGAATAATTGAGTACTTCTGTTTCATTAATAACCAGCCCTTTTAGGCCTAATGAATCACAAGCAATATAACCAGAGTTTTATGAGTAAGAGTAGTGCATCGAACGGCATCGTCGTGAGCGAATGCAAACCCATGTAAGCAAATTAAATCCCCTGTCGCTCATTCCTGGATTTGTCATTCATTAACATTTTCTTAGCAAGTGATACCCAAAGGTGATTAATTCCCACTCTTTGTCAGCTGGGATTTTGCTCTAGCAGACCACTGGATTGTTGGAGGGGTGCTTTTTATATATCCCAAACTGTGTAAATAAGGACTTGCAGTTTGTTGAGAAAGTGGAAAAACTACAGCTGTTGGCCTTCAGGCCTATTTAATAGGTTTGGCTCCCTTCATGCCACACAAAGAGTGTGCTTACACTTTTAGGTCTCTAGGCATAGAATTACTATTGTATGTAGCAAATAAAACCTTTTCTTGCACTGAATAGGTTATTAAAGATTGGAAGGTGATTGCCAAAAAGAACTTAGATTCCTTTCCTGGAAGTTATTTCAATATCAGAGAGCTCACAATATGAAAATGCAGTGGTGTGAACTAGTGATGTAAATAAAGGGGAAGGTGGTTAGTTTTATTAGGGGGAAATCTAGATTAGCTGTTTTCAAGGAAGTCAGCGTGTGTTCAGCATCCTGCCAGACATCTGGTGTCTGCAGTACAGAGAACGTGAAGCTGGGCTCCGAGGAGGAGAGGGGATAGTGGTATACACTTGAGGAGGAGCGTACTGAGCAGAGTAGTTTTGATATATTGAACTCTGGCAGAGGAGTTGGAGCACAGCAGCCACAACATCTCTGCAGATAGAAATTCATAATTTCTTCTTGACAGGCTGAGAGAGCTGGGCTGGGGCAGCTGGAGAAGAGAAGGCTCCTGAAGGGGAGACCTTAGAGCAACTCCAGTGCCTGAAGGGGCTCCAGGAAACCTGGAGAGGGGCTTTGGACAAGGGATGTAGGGACAGGACAAGGGGAATGGCTTGAACCTGCCAGAGGGGAGACTGAGATGAGCTCTGAGGCAGAAGCTCTTCCCTGTGAGGGTGCTGAGGCGCTGGCACAGGGTGCCCAGAGAAGCTGTGGCTGCCCCATGCCTGGCAGTGTTCAAGGCCAGGTTGGACACAGGGGCTTGGAGCAACCTGCTCTAGTGGAAGGGGTCCCTGCCCGTGGCAGGGGGTGGAGCTGGAGGAGCTTGAAGGTCCCTTCCAACCCAAACCAGTCCGGGATTCTACTAACTGAACTCTTCAATGTGTGAGCCATACTCTTCAAGGAGCCTGGCAGTGTTAAATCCCTGTCTGTGAGTCCGTTATGACATCCATGCCTGTCGACCTCACTGATACATAATTTATACACAGTCTTGAAAGCATTAAAAATACCTTGGCTTTCAAGCTGCAGCCAGAAAGAAAACCTAACCTTGGAGCTCTGCTTTCCCCCGGTGCGCCCCGGCAAGGGACAACTTCAGAGCTGTGGAGCTTTGAGGGGAACGAAGCTTTATAAGAAGAAAAAGCTCAAGGGAACTATGCAAATGAGGAAAAGCTCTGGGAAAATTAGAGCAAGTCACTGATGTTGTGATGAAAGGTTGTCAGTGGAGATGGTGACAACTGAAGTGCATTACCCATGGGTGCTGCTGTAATAGAAACAGGTGTTGCCGTCCAACCTGTCTGCAGACTGAAATGCTCTGGCTGCAATCCAGCTGCCACAAAATACATTAAAAATGGAGCTTTGCATTGTTTGCTCCAAACACTCATTTCTTGTTATTTGGGTCCTTAAAATTTAAGGAGAAAGCTGATGAAGGACAAGAGGAATGCTGAGCAAGGCTCCCCTGCTTGAGGTGAAGAGCACTTTGGGAAGTGACCTGAGGATAACAAGGTTTTATGTCAATCTCAAGTTATCCAGATTTATTTTAATCTCCATTAAAATGGGTGAATTTCTGTGGGAGCAGGAGATGTCTGTCACACTTGGTACCTACCCAAGGGTATACCTGAGTGTGGGATGCTGGCTACCTTTTATGTGCCTAATTTGGGATACAACTTTCCATTTTGCCTTAAAAATGTTTTAAACAATGATGTTGGGATAGTTTCATAGTCAATGCTCTGTTCTTTCATTATTTGTTATCTCTTTCTTTCTGTACCTCCAAGGTTTTGTAACCAGCATGGTGCAGGTCTTGTACCCATCCATGTGCAATGGCTGGTCAACTCTGGGCAGGAGAAAAAAAGCAGGGTAGATGTTGGGAACCAATAGGGATCTTTTGGCTAAAGGCTTTAGGTTTTAGTTTAGAAAGATGAGCTGATTTAAGCCTGCAGCTTTTAGTCTGACAGCTAAGTGCATCACTTTGCAAACTGAACAGTGTTTCTGAGCTAATGGTGTGAGTGTGCATGCATGCATGGGCATGCAGGCATAGATGAGGAGCTCAGAAGCATGTAGTGTTTTCTGGCTGTTGTTTTAATCATTGAGAGTGGAATGCCTGCTCGCTGTCATGGATTGTAGTGCTCCAGTGAAGCCCAACTATGGAAGAAAAATTAGGTTAGGGGCTTTATTTAGGCTTCTTCTGGATTATACTTCTCAATTTGGTGAATTAGAACCATTTGTTTTTATTAAGTTCAAGCTGGACGGTGCGTTACCCTTTGGTTCTTAACATGGTTTAGTCATTGTAATCAATTTTCAATGAAAAATGGCTTTTGAATCATCTTACCATCCAGCTTTTTGAGTTAGCTGTTTTTAGAGTTGTTTTGATTGTTGGGAGGGTTCTGTTGCTATCAAGGGGCAGTATTTTGGGGGTTCTTCAGATTAGGTTCTTTGAACCAGGCTTATGTCCATGGGCAGGGAGTAGATGTCTGTGTGGCTCAGGGAGGCTTCAGGTCCCTTGTTGCTGACATGCACTTGACTCTCTGCCCCAATTGAAGTGTTGGATCCCATTTAATAAGAGTAATGTAGCGACTTTGAGCTGTTCAGAGGTTTTTCAATGGGAGATACAGTTTAGGTATTAAACATTTGCTTCTTACCAGTTTTGTCAGATCTTCTGGCTCTGCACAATAGGATAAAATTCGAAGGCTGTGGGATGCTTTTATTGGTGAACGTGGTAGGTGGAAACTCTTTTAACACCAAAATATTGTCATTATCGAATCCCAAACTGGTTTGGGCTGGAGGAACCTTAAAGCTCCTCCAGTTCCAACCCCTGCCATGGCCAGGGACACCTTCCACTAGAGCAGGTTGCTCCAAGCCCCTGTGTCCAAGCTGGCCTTGAATGCTGCCAGGGATGGGGCAGCCACAGCTTACTGTACAGTATTCATTTACCAGAGAAAAATGTGATTCCAACTGTGTGTCCTTTGGCTCTGATGCTCGATGTTAGTTTTGTTACAGCTACTGATGGTTGTGTGGTCCCTTTTTTCAGCAAATTTTCTGAAATCACACAAAGAGCTTTCTCCTCTTTATTGTGATTTCAGGTAGGAAAACCCAGAAGGAGGTATATTCACTCACGTATCTGGTTTACACAGTGTTTAAGCACAGGTATTTCATTTGCCCTAACTGAAAGGGGAATTTGGTAACCATGCAGCTTAAATGCTTTGATTGAGTAAATCTGGCTTGAGACCCTGCAGAAGAATCCACTTCTCAAGGACACATTTGAGCAGTGCAGTCAGACAAAGAGAAAGTTTACCAGAAAATAGAAAAGGAACAACCCAGCAGCTTATTATTTAACAACTGGGAGTAATTTAATTGTGTTGGATGCCTAACACGGGGGAAACCATTAGTAGTCCTCTGGTGCCTTGGCAATAAATCATTCTGCAAAACTAATTAGGTATAATTCTGCAAGTCATTTGAGCAAGTTCCTATTAAAACCTGTGCTCCTAGGAGACCTGTCGTTGAGCTGCAGCATTTGCTGGGAACAATGGAGGCAAAGGCAGTGCTGTTATCAGCGTGGGCCTCGTTATTCGCATAACGAAGTAAAGCATGATGAAATGTCCTGTTAATAATGGTTAGGAAAGACATTTGTCAGTCCAGGGGATGTGGAACAACTGACTGCGTTTCTCAGCGTGCAAATGTAGTGGCACTGTTAAGTCATCCCCATAGAGTTTGGGGTGTCCAGGGAGCAGGAGAGATGAGTGCTGTGAATTAATGAGCTGACTTCAGCCCTGAAGAAGGTCTGCAGAAATGCAAAATGCGTGTTTCTGCTTATTCAACACCACGGCATATTGTTCAGAGATCATCCTCTTTCATTTAGGAGGCATCTGGCTGATTAAGCGTAACAGGTATGTTGGTGTGAAAAGGGTATTGAATGTGCCAGGACAAATTTTGTATGCGCCTGGTTTGTTTCATTAATTTCTAACTTTGACTTTAAACTTAAACAGGGGAACTTTAGGTTAGATCTAAGGAAGAAGTTCTTCACAGTGAGGGTGGTGAGGCACTGGAATGGGTTGCCCAAGAAAGTTGTGAATGCTCCAAGCCTGGAGGTGTTCAAGGCCAGATTGAACAGAGCCTTGGGTGACATAGTTTAGTGTGTGGTGTCCCTGCTCATGGCAGGGGGGATGGAACTAGATGATCTTAAGGTCCTTTCCAACCCTAACTAATCTATGATTCTATGATTCTATGCCCTGTCAGGCCTTACAAGAGCATCATATCAGAGTGATTCAGTGCTAAGCCAGTGTTTAGGTAGAATTAATTAATTCTTAGTTAATTCTTAATTAAAGAGAAGTCTCTTGTAATGGAAATCTCACTTTTTATATATGCAGGATTCTAAATTCAAGTACCCATTGCTAGCTGGTAAATGTAGTCTATCTGTTTGTATAGACTGCTTTCTGTGGCCAGTATTATTAATTACTTTACTTGGTAGAGCTTAAGCCACCAAAACAGAAGCTCAGTGAGCAAAGCAGGCAACTGTTGCATTTAACATATGCAGTTTCTACTCTCATTTAAGTTCTTAATAAGGAACGGGCTGATGCAGAGAAACTGGCTCGATTTTAATCCATCTTCTTTTCCTTTTTTTCAGTTGGCAAAAAAAATCCGTGAGAAATTTAACCGTTACTTGGATGTTGTGAATCGGAACAAGCAAGTGGTGGAAGCATCATACACTGCTCATCTCACGTCGCCCTTGACCGCAATCCAGGACTGCTGTACTATTCCCCCATCTATGATGGAGTAAGTATTACTGGAATTACTTATGCTGTCATGTGATATGTGAAGGAAAAAGGTGATTTCTTTGCAGAATAGCCTGTATTTTCTGTGAGTCTTGATAACTCTGAAAAGGGGGGAAGACAGAACTCCAAAGTGCTCCTTTTCTTGTCCTCATATTCTTTTCCATTTTTACTATGTACATGTACAACAAGGAGCACTAAATAAGAACTGGGTCTCTGCTGTGGTGGATTGTAGAATGAAACAAAAAGGATAAAAGTTTGTTCAACCCTTAATAGCATGGAACAGTCTTCAATACAAAATGAGTCTGTCCATGTCCAAGATACTGCCTTTGCACTGAGACACTGCTTACCCTGAATAACTGAATCACTCTTCTGAAGCTGGTCATGAGACTTCTTTTTTCTCCCTGCCTTTGAAGTGCAGTAACAAAAATCACGAGTTGGTCAGTACATCACGTGCTGAAAATACTGCATTGCAGTTTAATCTGGTTGACCTGCTGCTGTTTGATGCACAGAGGTTTACCCAAATTGAGTAGGTTGCTTGGAAACTGAATTTGTTCATTTAAAGTTTGTTTTGTTTTAAATACAGGAGTTTTCAATAGTCTAAATCGAGGCAGTTGGTTGTCTTTAATCACATTGTATTATGCTAGATAACTGCGTAAACTTCTTTGGGCTTCCTAACTGTAGGAAGGTGTAATGAAGGTCTGATTTGTCCAATAAAATTGTAGTAAGTTCTTTTAAATGCTCGACATTTTAAACATTTACTTCCATATGTGCTAGAAAAGACCAAGAGTATTTTCATTGTGTATATCTGTCTGACTTAGCAACATTTTGGGGAGAGGAAGGTAAATTGGGTAATAAATATTAAAAGCACTTTCTGCAATCTGACTATGAGACAGCTCTTCTCTTAATGACAGTGGGCTTTCATCAGTCCTGGAGTATGGCATTAATCTTTTTTTCTACAAGAGTTTAAAATATTCACTGCATTCAAATACATGGATTCAAACTTAAGCAGGGGAAGTTTAGGTTAGATATAAGGAAGAGGTTCTTTCCTGTGAGGGTGGTGAGGCACTGAAATGGGTTGCCCAAGGAAGTTGTGAATGCTCCATCCCTAGCAGTGTGCAAGGCCAGGTTGGATGGAGTCTTTGTGGCATGGTTTAGTGTGAGGTGTCCCTGCCCATGGCAGGATGGTTGGAACTGGGTGATCTTAAGGTCCTTTCCAACCCAAACCATTCTGTGATTCTATGTGGTATGAATCTATTCCTCGAGAGAAAGGCCGTTTGCTTGTTTTGTGTGTGTGTTGACTGTGAGGGTGCTGAGGCACTGGAACAGGTTGCCCAAAGTGGTAAATGCTCTATCCCTGGCAATGCTCTACACTGGAACAGGTTGCCCAAAGTGGTAAATGCTACATCCCTGGCAATGCTCAAGGCCAGGTTGAACAGAGGCTCGGGCAACATAGTCTAGTGTGAGGAGTCCCTGCTCATGGCAGAAGGTTGGAACTAGATGATCTTAAGGTCCTTCCAACCCAAACCATTCTGTGACTCTGTGACACAGAGGTAAGGTATCTCGATAGGGTTAAGCCTCAGGTGACTCCAAAGAAACGGATACCTTTCTGTTGGCTTGTGTGTAGATGTGGTGATCTTGGTGCAGTTCCAACTCACAGGTTGCCTACATAAAATGCTGGCACATCTGGTGCTCAATGGCCAGATATTTGGCAGTGTTGGTAGAAAGGTCAAGAATTAGTTGAGGATGAAAACCTTCCTGCGCTCTGATCTCTGCATGCAGGAACAGCGAGCTTCCTGCATGGGCTTTCAAGCAAGGACTGAAGAGAAGGAAGAATGAGGAGATATATCACCCCCTTGTCAGTATTGCAGTTTTTCATTAAAAAATAAAAAGAGAGGTTTGCTCTGGAAGCTTTTCATGAGTTTCCTTTCACTTTGTCCTCCAAATTTACTCAGTTTTGAAGTCCTCTAGAAATTTCTTTCCTCAGGGTGGACTTGCATAAGGGTCCTTCACAGGAAGTGATTTAAGAAACAAACTGGAGGTCACAGCTGGCAAAGTGAAGAGATGAATTTTCTATTTGCAGAGCTCTTCATTCAGGCTTTACAATATGATTCTTGTTATTGAGTTACTTGGATTGATAATACTAAATCTGCTTACCAGAAAAGTCAGTCTTCAGGATCTTTCAGATAGCTCTTTGGCAAGACCTGTTTGAGTACCTATGATTGAGAACAGTGAATTATCAGACCATTGGGAATATACGTACTGCAGTCTTCAGGAAATTGTCTGCAAGTCACACAAAGAATGTAAAAACATGTTTTCCTTTAGAAACTTAACTTCCAGGATGTTTGCACCGTGCTTTGTTAAATGCCTGATTTGTCTAAATGCTTCTGCCATCATTTCAGTTGTTCCTCCCCCTTCTGCTGTTCTTCCTTTAATTTTCCTTCTCTGTGGCATCTCCCTTTTGGGAGAAGCTGCATTTTGATTAAAACATCAGGGGAAAAAGCTGATGCTGATACCTAAGGGGTTGTTATTAGGTCTTATGTTTGACACAAGCCTGCTAAAGTGGAAAGTAAAACAGTTCACACGAGCAGAAAGTGGCTGTTCCTGAAAAGCCAGTTCCCCTCTTTGAGCTACGTCAAAACCTATCCTTGTCTCCCTGTGTCTCTAGAAGAGGGATTGGTTTTTAGTAGAAATCTCAAAATGAGATAACCTTCCTCTTAAGCAGGAGCTTTCCACTGAAATTAAAAGATTACATGCTCCTCAGGATCCCCCTTGGGCACCTCGAGGCCTGGTTAAAAGGAGGGGGAAATGGCCAGCAGTCAGATTTTGGAGACTGGAATACACATGTCAGTGTTTGAACATGGATTGAGGAATCATTTCGAAAACACAAACACAAATATTCCCACCTGGATATTTTGATGATATTTTGAAGGCCACTGATTTACTTGAACTCTTCCACCTGTAATTTCTGGACCCACTTGTTCTGGCTTTGAGCAGACCTGCACTTGTGAGAAGTTGAGTTAGATGTGCTGTTGCTGGTGGCAGCTTATTCTTGATGCTTAAAAGATGTGTGTTAGTATTGGGCAGAAGAGTGCTGGTGTTAGAGCAACAATAATTGTAATAGTTTGCTTTAGAGCATTTATTAGCTGCCTCTATAAAAGAGGTCACATTAAAAAGACACAGATCTGTCTTTGCTATTTGCCATATTCAGAAGGTGGTTTGGTTTAGATGGTACCTTAAAAATGTGTGTATCCTTAGGCCTATGGTTTTCCTTTGAGGAAGGTTGTGAAATATTTGTGTTACAGCTACTTCATTCTGTGTATTCTTTCTTGGTATTGGGAGGTGTTTCATCATGTGGCCTCTTCACTTGGGTAAACACTTGGTGCAAGAACAGTATCAGCAGCATCTTAACTTCAGGGTATATTTTAAGGTAGATCTAAAGGCCTGTCCCACAATATTTAAGGCTGTTTATCACATAGTTATCAGGTTCTAAATGCAGGGTGATGTTTGAAAATCTGAGGGCACTTCATGCTCTGAGGTGATTCTTCCACCAGCCTTTTACACTGTGTTGGAACGCAGCAAGTTTGGATTTGTTTTGGAAAAATTACTTGGGAAGGAGATGATGAACTTCTATGTAGAGAAAGGTTTATTAAGGGTTTTTTAATGGTTTGATATCTTTAGATTTAGATTATATTTGCTGTTACTGTTAACAAAATTACCAATATGTGGCCTTGTGTTTGCTTGTATTTATCTTGCAAATCTGAGCATTTGCTTTGAAGATATTTGCCATGTTGCTTGAGAGAAACCACACCTGGCAACTATAAATAAATGATACAAAATAGAACTAACAAAGCACAAACTGGGATATAAAATAAACCTGGCACTTAAATTGCTTGTTTAGTTGAGTAGTAAGTTATGACAGGGAAAGCAGTGTTTATTGTATTGCCATTATGTGGTGAAGAGCCCAAATGAGTAAGTTTCCATGTGACTGGAAGAAGCTCTTCCCTGTGAGGGTGCTGAGGCGCTGGCACAGGGTGCCCAGAGAAGCTGTGGCTGCCCCATCCCTGGCAGTGTTCAAGGCCAGGTTGGACACAGGGGCTTGGAGCAACCTGCTCTAGTGGAAGGTGTCCCTGCCCGTGGCAGGGGTTGGAGCTGGAGGAGCTTTAAGGTCTCTTCAAGCCAAACAATTCCGTGATTCTATGACTGTGGTTCCAGTCCATAGTGAGTAGCTCTGAATTAAAATTAACAGCCTGGTTCTCCTTTCAGTTCTTTTGTTGTACCCAACATGTACTAGCCTAACAAGTACTAACAATTACATATTTGTTCTCCCCACCAAGGTAGGTTTGTGCAATGGAACGACATTGTTTTGGAAAGTGGTGGAAATAACTAAATCAGAGTTTGCAAACACAACCTGACGAAGCAGTGCAGTTGGTGGCTGTTGAGTGGTTTTGGCAAGGGACTTTTCCATAGGCCTTAATTCAACAAACGTTTCATCATATGCTTTTGCTCATCTGGTTTACCAAAGCATTTAAATATGTGCTCGTGTAAATGAAAACCAATCATATGCATAAGTATATATGCAATTACTGCTAAGTAGAGGTGGACTGCTAAATTGGAGCAATGGAGCAGGGACTATGTGTTTTTCCTTGTTTTTCTGCTGTTCCTTTCTTCATATGCAGCTGTTTGCATTTTCAGTTCTGCCTAACCAAGGGTTGGGAATAGAAAAACCATGATGGCAATGGGGCAACAACAGTAGAGAAGAGTCACCAGAGAGGATAGCTTTCAGGCAAGCTCAGAAGTGGATGGTATGAGGATCTGGTATCTGCCCTGCCATCCAGGCTGTATTTGTGTCCATGGGACAGAGCCTGGAGACTTGCTCCTTTTCCCAGGGCCATGTGCTGCATTGAGGAAGTGCCCATAGCAGTTGGGAAGATGGATTGCTCCAATGAGACACAGTTAATATGGATAAAGTGCTCCAGGCTCTTAGCAAAATGGACGGGTAAA